TAGTCAAATAAATTACTAACTTGAGAAGAGCTTAAATATATGAGCCACAAGTTAGGCTTGACTCACTGAAAATAATTTAGGCTCGCCCGTCTCCAAGTTTCTTATGTAACAATATCGTCGTAAGTTTGTAACGTTATATAGGAAATTTAGGTCCGTGAATATTTTTTATACAGCGAATCTTTATGTGTGTGAAATATATTATATCGTCAAAAACTTAAATGTTCGTACAAAGGCAACACATTTATGGCGTCGTGTTAATACAAGTCTGGAGAAGCACTGCTCAAAACTACCAACTATAAATCTAGACTTTTGATGTTTTCAATTTGTATCTGGTACTTTTATCATTGAACTTATCTTCAAGACTGGTACTTCTATCATTGAACTTATCCTCAAGACTGGTACTTCTATCATTGAACTTATCCTCAAGACTGGTACTTCTATCATTGAACTTATCTTCAAGACTGGTACTTCTATCATTGAACTTATCCTCAAGACTGGTACTTCTATCATTGAACTTATCCTCAAGACTGGAAACTTCTATCATTGAACTTATCCTCAAGACTGGTACTTCTATCATTGAACTTATCCTCAAGACTGGTACTTCTATCATTGAACTTATCTTCAAGACTGGTACTTCTATCATTGAACTTATCCTCAAGATTGGTACTTCTGTCATTGAACTTATCTTCAAGACTGTACTTCTATTTGAACTTATCCTCAAGACTGGTACTTCTATCATTGAACTTATCCTCAAGATTGGTACTTCTGTCATTGAACTTATCTTCAAGACTGGTACTTCTATCATTGAACTTATCCTCAAGACTGGTACTTCTATCATTGAACTTATCTTCAAGACTGGTACTTCTATCATTGAACTTATCCTCAAGACTGGTACTTCTATCATTGAACTTATCCTCAAGACTGGTACTTCTATCATTGAACTTATCTTCAAGACTGGTACTTCTATCATTGAACTTATCCTCAAGATTGGTACTTCTGTCATTGAACTTATCTTCAAGACTGGTACTTCTATCATTGAACTTATCCTCAAGACTGGTACTTCTATCATTGAACTTATCCTCAAGATTGGTACTTCTGTCATTGAACTTATCTTCAAGACTGGTACTTCTATCATTGAACTTATCCTCAAGACTGGTACTTCTATCATTGAACTTATCCTCAAGACTGGTACTTCTATCATTGAACTTATCTTCAAGACTGGTACTTCTATCATTGAACTTATCCTCAAGATTGGGTACTTCTGTCATTGAACTTATCTTCAAGACTGGTACTTCTATCATTGAACTTATCCTCAAGACTGGTACTTCTATCATTGAACTTATCCTCAAGATTGGTACTTCTGTCATTGAACTTATCTTCAAGACTGGTACTTCTGTCATTGAACTTATCCTCAAGATTGGTACTTCTGTCATTGAACTTATCTTCAAGACTGGTATTTCTATCATTGAACTTATCCTCAAGATTGGTACTTCTGTCATTGAACTTATCTTCAAGACTGGTACTTCTATCATTGAACTTATCCTCAAGACTGGTACTTCTGTCATTGAACTTATCCTCAAGATTGGTACTTCTGTCATTGAACTTATCTTCAAGACTGGTATTTCTATCATTGAACTTATCCTCAAGATTGGTACTTCTGTCATTGAACTTATCTTCAAGACTGGTACTTCTATCATTGAACTTATCTTCAAGACTGGTACTTCTATCATTGAACTTATCTTCAAGACTGGTACTTCTATCATTGAACTTATCCTCAAGACTGGTACTTCTGTCATTGAACTTATCTTCAAGACTGGTACTTCTGTCATTGAACTTATCTTCAAGACTGGTACTTCTATCATTGAACTTATCTTCAAGACTGGTACTTCTATCATTGAACTTATCTTCAAGACTGGTACTTCTATCATTGAACTTATCCTCAAGACTGGTACTTATGTCATTGAACTTATCTTCAAGACTGGTACTTCTGTCATTGAACTTATCTTCAAGACTGGTACTTCTATCATTGAACTTATCTTCAAGACTGGTATTTCTATCATTGAACTTATCTTCAAGAATGGTACTTCTATCATTGAACTTATCCTCAAGACTGGTACTTCTGTCATTGAACTTATCTTCAAGACTGGTACTTCTGTCATTGAACTTATCTTCAAGATTGGAGTCTTGAAGATGAGTTCGTTGAGAGATACGTGAGTAAACAGTGAGTCTACAGATCACAGCAATAAAGCTGCAGCAGGTGAAACACTTGTTTATAGTAAGAACTATGGGAGTTGAGAGAGAACGATGTTAATGTTACCTGTATATGTGGTGATGTAGCAACTCCAGGAGAGGAAAAACTGTGTCAAGTGTGTAGGGGACCAGGATAAACACACTCCTGCAAAATATCTTAGAAAGAAGCACTTTTTTTTCCCCTGCCGGAGATTTGATCCCCGGACCTCGGTGATCCAGTTGAAATCCATAATCTGGATTGGGATACACTTTGCTTCCTTGTCGGAGCTTATAAGTTCGAGTCTCCGGTGTTACGCAGTGTTAAAAAGTAGCAAAATACAGAAGTATTTAATTAAAACCAGACATGACCGAACAATTTAAGTTGGTTGCATGATGGTCTGCATCTACGTCGTTAGAATGTGTAAAGGCATTTATAATTGAATTGTGAAGCAGTCAGTGATGGGGTTGATATCATCAGTGACCTGTCCACTGTTTGGGTTTGAATGTCTTACATCTTTATGTTACGGTCACTCACAGGATGAGTAACGCTACCCTAGGGACCTGCCTCAATTGCTGTCATGAGGAACCGCTGTTTGAGACCTAATGATAAGAACAGTGTTTACTACACCAAGGGTCAGATTCCATCTTAGCAAGGAATGCAGGCCCACTACTCTACAACTGGTTGTAGGTGCAGTAGTAGTGCTGGTAGTGGTAGTTTAAGTATTGATGATACGTAGTTTTCCTGCAAATGGCCTCTCTGACACATACACACAAGCAAGAAAGGAGACATCATTAAACTACAAACCAATGTCACTGACATTTTTTTTTTTTTTTATTTTTTTTATTATCACACTGGCCGATTCCCACCAACGCAGGGTGGCCCGAAAAAGAAAAACTTTCACCATCATTCACTCCATCACTGTCTTGCCAGAAGGGTGCTTTACACTACAGTTTTTAAACTGCAACATTAACACCCCTCCTTCAGAGTGCAGGCACTGTACTTCCCATCTCCAGTACTCAAGTCCGGCCTGCTGGTTTCCCTGAATCCCTTCATAAATATTACTTTGCTCACACTCCAACAGCACGTCAAGTATTAAAAACCATTTGTCTCCATTCACTCCTATCAAACACGCTCACACATGCCTGCTGGAAGTCCAAGCCCCTCGCACACAAAACCTCCTTTACCCCCTTCCTCCAACCTTTCCTAGGCCGACCCCTACCCCGCCTTCCTTCCACTACAGACTGATACACTCTTGAAGTCACTCTCTTTCGCTCCATTCTCTCTACATATCCGAACCACCTCAACAACCCTTCCTCAGCCCTCTGGACAACAGTTTTGGTAATCCCACACCTCCTCCTACTAACATGTGTAGTATGCAAAGTTGTGGAGAAGATTTTCAGGAGAGTGGTGGAGCACATAGAAAGGAAAAAGCTTATACACAATAATCATTACGGTTTCAGAGAAGGGAAATCCTGTGTCACAAACCTACTGGAGTTTTACGACAAGGTAACAGAAGTAAGACAGGGGAGAGAGGGGGGGGGTAGACTGAGTTTTCTTGGATTGTAAAAAGGTTTTCGACACAGTTCCACACAAGAGATTAGTGTAAAAGTTGGAGGAGCGGGCAGGAATAACAGGAAAGACACTACAATGAATCAGGGAATACCTGGCAGGAAGAAAACAAAGAGTGATGCTATGGGACGAGATATCAGAGTGGGAGCATGTGACGAACTGGGTTCCACAAGGGTCAGTCTTAGAGCCAGTGCTGTTTCTGGTATATGTGAATGACATGATGGAAGAGATAGATTCAGAGGTTTCCATGTTAAGTAAATAAGTTTGCTCAGGTTCAGGTTCAGGTTCAGGTACACATAAATACAGTTACATAAATTGTCATACATAGCAGCATACAGGAAGTATACCTGGAGAGGGTTTCGGGGGTCAACGCCCCCGCGGCTCGGTCTGGGACCAGGCCTCGTGGTGGATCAGGGTCTGATCAACCAGGCTGTTACTGCTGGCCGCATGTGTGTAGATTACCTAGGATAACCCAAAAAAGTCAGCCAAAGTGATTTATTTTCACTGGGGTCCTTGTAATATCTTATTATTTAAACCTTAAAAGTTTGCAGATGATGTGAAGCTAATGCGGAGAATTCAAGCGGACGAGGACCAGGTAGGACTACAAAGAGATCTGGAGTTTAACCCCACCAAATGCAAAGTCATGAAAACTGGGGAGGGTCAAAGAAGACCGCAGACGAAATACGGGCTAGGGTGGCCAAAGGCTGCAAACCTCACTCAAGGAAAAGGATCTTCGGGAGAGTATAATACCGAGCGCATCTCCTGAGGCGCATATCAACCACATAACTGTTGCAGCATGTGGGCGCCTGGCAAACCTAAGAATAGCATTTCTACACTGTATATGTCAGACCCACATTGGGGTATGTAGCATCACTACGGAACTCAAACCTGGCCAAGCACGTTAAAAATTTAGAAAAAATGCAAAGGCTTATAAGATTAGTCCCTGAACTAAGGGGCAAAAGATTACATCTTTTACTGTATTCTGTGCCCCTGACAGTGCTGGTCAGCCAGACATCCCACCCAGGTACTGAACACACAAAAAAATCCTTGATTGTACTGCACCACGTGACTAAAAGCATTGTCTTTATGAAGGGCCTACGTGACTCATCAACGCTACGTGAAGAGGCTGTGTAACTCACCAAAGCTACGTGAAGAGGCTGTGTAACTCACCAAAGCTACGTGAAGAGGCTGTGTAACTCACCAAAACGGCTCCTGAGGGCGAGGATGAAGACCAGAGGGTCGTGTGGCTCTGCCAGGTCACCACCCACGTTCCTGCAGAACTTCCTGGCCTGGGCCCACGTCAGCTGCTCCTCTTCCCCGCTGAAGAAGAAACACTCTTCCTCCACCAGGAAGAACTGGTTGGGGCACTCTGCCACAACTGCTGTCAACCACACCACCAGCCCCATGTTAATAATAATTGTCATGGAAAAGAATAAATATTTCACGTGGAGAAGGAGTAGGTAGAGCAGCAGTTGGAAGAAAAAATGAAATGGGAGGAGCAGTAGGCGAAGTAAATGAAGGAGGGTGAAGGGGAGGAGAGCTGCTGACAGGGATGGGGAGTGCAAGGCCGGGGGGAGGGGGGGGGCTGGCTTGCCAAAGTTAAAGACTTGTGTACACAATTATCTTTGTTTTTACAGAGGAAGACGCGCTTGAGCTACTAAGCATGACACTCTCTCCTTGTTGGACTCTTGCTAGAAACTAGACATCTTTAATATGTTAAATATTACTAGTGCGAATATTATTATAAAAAAATCCAGACTGGTCATTATTAAAGCTGGAAATGTGGAGTGGCAACAGTATAAAATCCCAGCAACACGGACCATCTTCCAGCTTCAGTGAAGCAATATTCTTCACTCACCTGAGTCATTTTTTTCACACTTCTGGCTCGTCGGGATCATGGCAGGGAAGGTGGCTGTGAAGTTGTCGAAGTTGGTAATGAAGTCGCTGAGGATGTCAGTCATGTTGTGGTAGTCAGCCTGCAGCTTGAGCAGGCCTGTTGCCGTGACCTGCGCCAGCTCCAGCGTCCCTGTTACCATGCCAACACCATTATGACCACGACAACACCATTATTACCACGCCAACACCATTATCACCACGTCAACACCATCATTACCACGCCAACACCATTATCACCACGTCAACACCTTCATTTCCACGCCAACACCATTATCACCACGTCAACGCCATCATTACCATGCCAACACCATTATCACCACGTCAACACCATCATTACCACGCTAACACCATTATTACCACGCTAACACCATTATTACCACACTAGCACTATCGTCACCACGTCAACACCATCATCGCCACACCAGCATCATCATTACCACACCAACACCATAATCACCACGTCAATACCATTATCACCACGTCAACACCATCATTACCACGCCAACGCCATCATTACAACGTCAACACCATTATCACCACGTCAACACCATCATTATCACGCCAACACCATCATAACCACATCAACACCATTATCACCACGCCAACATCATCATCACCACATCAGCACCATCATCACCACCTCAACATCATCATCACCACACCAGCACCATCATCAAAACGTCAACACCATTATCACCACACCAGCACCATCATCACCACATCAACACCATCATCACCACACCAGTACCATCATCACCACGTCAACATCATCACCACGTCAACACCATCATCACTTCAACACCATCACCACACCAGCATCATCATTACCACACCAACACCATCATCACCACGTCAACACCATTATCACCACGTCAACACCATCATTATCACGCCAACACCATCATAACCACGTCAACACCATTATCACCACGTCAACATCATCACCACACCAGCACCATCATCACCACGTCAACACCATCATCAACACACCAGCACCATCATCACCACATCAACACCATCATCACCACACCAAGACCATCATCACCACGTCAACACCATCATCACCACGTCAACACCATCACTAACACCATCATTACCACACCAGCACCATCGTCAAAACCATCGTCAACACCATCATCACCACACCAGCGTCATCATTACCACACCAACACCATCATTACCACGTCAACACCATCATTAGCACGTCAACACCATCATCACCACGTCAACACCATTATCACCACGTCAACATCATCATCACCACGCTAACACCATCATTACCACACCAGCACCATCGTCACCACGTCAACACCATCATCACCACACCAGTACCATCATCACCACTTCAACACCATCATCACCACACCAGGACCATCATCACCACGTCAACATCATCACCACGCCAGCACCATCATCACCACGTCAACACCATCATCACCACGTCAACACCATCATCACACCAGCACCATCATCACCACGTCAACACCATCATCACCACGTCAACATCATCACCACGTCAACACCATCATCACCAAGTCAACAATATCGTCACACCAGTACCATCATCACAACGTCAGCACCATCATCACCACGTCAACACCATCATCACAACGTCAGCACCATCGTCACCAATTCAAGATCATCACCTGGTCTCAGACTAAGCTGCGGGGGCGTTGACCCCCGAAACCCTCTCCAGGTAAACTCCAGGTAAACTATGTCAACATTATCGTCACTACACCAGAACCATCATCAACACGTAAACATCATCATTACCACGCCAACATCGTCATCACCACATCAACATCATCATCACCACACCAGCACCCTTATCACCACGTCAACATCAACATCACCACACCAGCCCTATCATCACCACGTCAGCACCATCATCACCACGTCAACACCATCATTACCACGTCAACACCACCACATCAACACCATCATCACCACGTCAACACCATCATCATCACGTCAACACCATTATCACCACGTCAACTCCATCATCACCACGTCAACACCATCATCACAGCAGCACCATCATCACTACGTCAGCACCATCATCACCACGTCAACACCATCATCACGTCAACACCATTACCACGTCAACACCATCATCACCACGTCAATACCATCATCACCACACCAACATCATCACCACGTCAACACCCTCATCACAACAGCACCATCATCACCACTTCACCATCATCACCACGCCAACACCATCAGCACCACGTCAACGCCATTATCATCACATCAACACCATCATCACACCAGCACCATCAACACCACGGCAACACAATCATCACCACGTCAACACCATCATCACCACGTCAGTACCATCATCACCACGTCAACACCACCATCACCACGTCAACACCATCATCACACCAGCACCATCATCACCACGTCAACCCCATCATCACGCCAACACCAACATCACCACGTCAACACCATCATCACCACGTCGACACCATCATCACCACGTCAGCACCATCATCACCACGTCAACATAATCACACCATCATCATCACCACGTCAACACCATCATCATCACGTCAACACCATTATCACAACGTCAACTCCATCATCACGTCAACACCATCACAGCAGCACCATCATCACTACGTCAGCACCATCATCACCACGTCAACACCATCATCACGTCAACACCATTACCACGTCAACACCATCATCATCACACCAGCACCATCATCACCACGTCAACATCATCACACCATCATCATCACACCAGCACCATCATCACCACGTCAACACCATCATCATCACACCAGCACCATCATCACCACGTCAACACCATCATCATCACACCAGCACCATCATCACCAGGTGTTAAGAATCATTAAGACCTAGTGATCAGAATACAATAGGAGCAGATGACGTGGATATCAGAGGAATGTGTGCGGGCAAAAACTAAACTATCCACTCCGAGAATTATGATTAATTCCATTACAAGAGAGTAAACTGAAGGACAAGTGCACAATAGCACACCTTATAGCACACCTTATATGGTTTTGAAGATTGAATTTATGTTAATTAAAATAAACTTTTAATAATATAGTACGTTATTAAAGACTAACTTGAAAGCTATGAAACATGGAAATAAAAAAACAAAAATATTGCAGTGATTTTCAATACAGAAGGAAAATGCGACAAGAATACCCTCACGGGTCAGCGTGACCAGCGGGGTGTCCCAAGGATTAGTATTTGCTCTTTAATAATTCTAGCTTATATAAATAATTTGGCAGAATGAATTTAAATTGTGTGTATGTGTTTGTGTATGATGTACATATCTTGTGGATGGTGAACTTTAATGGATGCTGCTATGTAACGGAAATGGGGGAGAACAGGATGACGAACCATGAGAAAAGTATTGATTTGTTTTAGCACGCCCAAAATCTTCCACCGAGGTAGAGTGACTAAAAAAAGAAACGCTCACATTCACTCATTTAGTTGCTGTTTTGCCAGAAATGTACAGAAATCACAACTGAAATAACCCTCTGAACTATAGTATCGTTGCTTAGTTAATCTTAAGTTAATTTTATACCTGCCCATAATGCTCTGCATACAAGGGGCTTTTGGCATGTACACCCAATCACTATATTTCTTTGTACAACTATGTATCATGTCCAAATAAAAAGTAAATAAATAAATAAATCTTCATCCGTCTTCCAGAGTGCACGTACACTGATGGACGGGTGGGAATATTGCACACACGGTGAGTGAGAAAGAGATCTGGGAGACACTGTGGAAAGTCACCAAAAGGTGATGTATGTCATGTGTGAGTCATGTGTTTCACTGGTAAACCGTAAACCAGTATTCGGATATATGGATAAGTAAATGCATAAAAAGGTGTTTATAATGTACAATTTTCTACATGTATCTTTGGTTTTGTGTTCGCAAATAAATAAGAAATGTCCAAAGAAGAGCTGCGAAAACTCTCCCATAGCTAAAAATTTCGAATTATGATGAAAGGCTGAAAATATTAAGAATAGCCATGCTGGATGATAGCAGGAAGTGAGGTGACATGACAGCCACATATAATACAATAAAATGTTAAAAAAAATAAATAAAGAAGACTTCTTAACACCATCAACAAGAATAAGAAGCTGCCACAGTTGTAAACTGTGGCAGCTTCTTGCTGTTGAAAATGAGACGAATGGCGCAATTATCATTGAAAATGGAAAAATAAAACACAACCTAAATTGTCTTGAGTTCTGAAGTCTTGGAGTCGCGACTTAGTTATAATCTCTGGATTTCTTTGAATTTTGATAGTAAATTGCTAGGAATTTTTTTTGAAAATGCTCTGGAAAATGAGAATTGTATATTTCACTTTAAGTCAACGAGATGTTGTATGTCACCAGCTATGTTGTGAGTCACCAAACTGGTAGAACAACAACAGCTACGTTGTTGTAACTACACTATACTGGTAGAACAACAACGGCTATGTTGTTGTGACTGTCACTAAACTGGTAGAAAAGCATTTTGTACAATGATTAGAAGACGACAGTCATGGAACAGTGTCACCAGTAAGGTGCCACGAGTGCCACAAAGTTCACTGTCAAATAGAGTAAATATAGATCATAGAGTGAAAATGAAAACAAGTACCATGCTGATTTTAAAAGATTGAAAACAGGTTCATAAGTGACTGGAAACAAGTTCCATATCAACTATAAGTTAGTTAAAAAGAAAAAGATCTTTAGGTGATACAAAAAAAATAAACGTTATCATCAGTTAACATAGATGTTATTGGGAGGGAGGCATTTTCCACCATAGTAAATTTTATGATAGCTTTTAAGTATATTACTGAAGATATGTGAATATTCTTTTAGCGTTTTGTTTGACTTCATCTGAAGTACGAAGCTGTTATTTGGAACCAAAAGTTATTGAAGCTTGTTAACAAATTTGAAAATGTTCAGAACTATGCAAGAAAGAGATTCCAGAAGCAAGAAATTTGAGATATGAAGAGAGACTGAAATTGTATAGACTTTCTTTTGTTGAAAGCTACGAGGAGACGGATGACCACCTACATGGTCATGAGAGAATACCAAAAAACACGTACAAACAAAGTATCTCGGAATTAGCATTGAGGAGGACATGCAAGAATATTCT